GTTACCACCTTTAAAGCGCTCCATGGCATAGGACCTGGCTATCTCCGAGACCGCCTTCTGCCGCAGATTCCCTCCCATAGACCGGTACGCTCCCACAGAGTGGGTCTCCTCAGGGTGCCGTCGGCCAAGCAGTGTCGGCTGGCGACCCCCAGGGGGAGGGCCTTCTCTGTGGGTGCCCCCGCCCTCTGGAACGAACTACTCCCCCAGATCCGGGTGATTCCGGATCTCCTTACTTTCCGCCGCGCCCTCAAGACATGGCTTTGCCAGCAAGCGGGCCTGGCCTAGGGAGGATTTTAAATCGGGTTCATTTTTAGAAAATTTTAAATACCACAACTTTAAAATATTTGGGTTTTAATTGGTTTTATTTGGCGGGGATTGTGGGCATGTTTCTGTTTTAAATATGTTGTGAGCCGCCCTGAGTCCCTCGGGAGAAGGGCGGGATACAAATCAAATAAATGAAATAAATGAAATGCATTCTAATCACTGCGCCACTACAGCATGAATGAATGACTGAATGAATGGAATGATCAAAAGGACCATTACAGAGTACAGAAGAGGTGAAGCCACACTCTAGAACTCAGAAAAATCCAAGAATTCCATAAGACTCCAAAAATTTGATTGACTAACATTTCAATCATTTTTTTAAAAAAACAACAGGCTTTTATGATAATTCTTATAGCTTTATAGGCAGTGAGATTCTTGATTGTATATCTCAGTTTACGATGTGTGGACTTCAACTCCCAGAATTCCCCAGCCAGACCCTCAAAGGAGTCTAGAGCCATGTTTCTCAACCTTAGCAACTTCAAGGTGTGTGGACTTCAATTCCCAGAATTCCCCAAGCAGCAGGCTGCCTGGGGAATTCTGGAAATTGAGGTCTACACACCTTGGAAATTGCCAAAGGTTGAGAAACACAATCCTAGATCTATAATTGCTAGGTAAAATAGAGCAACGATTTTTTTTTAGTTTTTATTAAAAACCAAGGCCTACTCCTGCTCCAGGTTTGTCAGCTTTGCTCTCACTTCCTTCCTCCATGACTCAGTTCCTTGCCCCAACTCACCGCGCCCCCAGCGCATCCAGACGCTGTAGTTCTGTGCATTGTCTTCTTCCAACAGTTGTATGAGGTAGTATTTATTGTTGTTGAATTGAAGGTTTGTCTGGAGGAAGCCAAGATGGAAAAAAAAGGAGCTGGTCAGAAATGAGACAACACCTTGTTCCTTTTCTATGCCATGTACTGCTCTCCTAGATGTTTTCTGAACAAACATCTATGAAAGATCAGGCTTTCATACAACTATTTCTCCAATCTCCAATCTCTTCAGGGGAATTTTGCTCTGTAGGATAATATGAACCCAACTGAGGAAGTGGGGAGCCGAAATTCATCAATAAGCTTCACCTATATCAGTAGTTCTCAACCTGTGGTCCGTGGACCATTGGGGGGGGCACAATGTCATCACAGGCAGTCTGCGAAGGCTTGAAAAAATATTATGATTTAAATCTTGAATTAAGTCTTGGGAGTCCATGGCCATGGTCTGTGGCCACAAAAAATATTTAAAGGGGGGGGGGGCGGTGGTGAAGAAAAGGTTGAGAACCACTGAGCTACATCATTGTAGTTTCTAGTTCTGTCTTCCCTGCCTCTTAGGAGAGCATAGATGGTTCTTCCCAAAGTTTTGTCCTCCAGATAATTCTTGCTAAGAACAAGAGATTCAGAGATAGGCCTTGTCTGACCTCATTTGGTGGACCCTGTGACTGAAATCAAGAGATTAACTGAAGTCCTGCAACTGAAGTCCAACCTTTTTTTTTTTTTTAACCAGGCAGAATCTCTCGATTGGAAATTAAAAAAAACAGGTATGGTCCACTCACCTGATTTAACATCACGTCGTAAATGTCGTCTCCTTCACAATAAACATGAGCCTTTAGAAAAGGCAGGAAAGAGGAAGGGAGATTATTCAAAGCAAAGGAATGAATTTTTTTTAAAAAAGAAAGCCTCTTTCAAGCTAGGCTTGACTCCTGGTGACTTCACAAAGACAACCATGCAGTTGAAAAATGCAATTGTCTTCTTCCAACTTGCTAGTCTGACCTACCGCCTTTGGACTTCCTGTAGGGCTCCATCCAAGTACTTACCAAACCAGACCCAGCTTAGCTTCCAAAGACCAGACAGGATGACCACTTGCTGCGCTAAAAATAGTCTAATGAGAGACTTTTCCAGACTACAAAAATCTTCTACTTGCCCACCAAATGCTGTTCCAACATGCTGGATTTCAACTCCCAACATTCCCAGAAAGCATGGCTAAAAAGGGGCTGTTTTAGGCTAACAACAGTCAGCATGAGGAAGTGACTTAAGGCAGTGGTCCCCAACCTGTGGGCCGCGGTCCTCTACTGGTCCGGGGCCTATTCGCNATCATCATCATCATCATCATCATCATCATCATCCCACTTTGCATTGAACAGTGTCTACAACAGAGTAGACACCCTACAATCTGAGCATTAAAAGAACCCAGGATCTTACTCCTTATGATCCTAGCGTCTCTGGGCTTAAAACAAAATGGCACTTAATTAATGGGGTATTTCAGCAACACTAGCTTCTTATCGCGATGGATCAGAGGTTAAAGACCCTGAGCTTGTCAGTTGGAAAGCTGATAGCCCAGGTTGGAGACCCAAGTGCCGCGTGACGGGGAGAGTTTCCATGATTGGTTATTGGTTGCAACCAGTTCGAAAGCATGCAAGTGTAAGTAGATTAATAGGTACCACTTCAGGGGGAAGGTAACAGTGTTCCGTGCACCTCGGCGCATAGTCATGCTCGCCACATGGCCACGGAAGTGTCTTTGGATAATGCTGGCTCCCTCGGCTAAGAAACGGAGATGAGCACCACTCTCTAGAGTCGGACATGACTGGACAGAGGGAAACCTTTAACTTCTTATGAGATTCCTAATTGCAGTTCCTATTACCAACCTCCCCACCATGAATCTATTTCTGAAGGATCAGGCTGTTCTTTCCATCACACTGTCATGCATTAACCCCCCCAAATCATTTTCTCGGCCCTTACCCAGCCCATCTCCTTCCCCATGCGATGCTGGGGCATCTAATTCGGTCTGGGACTTCTTAGGAGGAACCGCCGTACTGGCGTCCAAGTCACGGCTGTTCAGCTGGGATCCGCCCGCAGCCTCTGTTGCATCTGAATCAGGAAAAGAAAGGCAGAATGGGACAGAGGTGTTAGTTGTGGTTTCAATTCCTGTGTAAGGACAGAGGGGAAGGGGCCCCCGAGACCAAATCTATGCTCACAGATTTCCACTTGCAAGGAGCCCAGCCGAAGTTCCATAGTTCAATTCCCAGCGTAAGAATAAATTTCTGTACCCCGATACCTGATTCCCTGCATTCCATCTGACGTTCAAATTTAGTCCGCTGGTTTCTCTGCACCATGCGGTCCGTGTCCAGCTTGTAGCGGGTCCGACCAACTGTCAAGTCCACTATGGGCTCCCGGTGACCGTTCTTGGCTGCCTGTAAATCCAAGCAGGTAGCAGCGGGGTATGGGATCCAGCCGTTTTCTTGGTCTCCTTCCCATTGCCAGACCAAATCTGCACCCATGTGGGGGAACAAGAGGAAAGGGAGAAGAAAATTGAATTAATATAAGTCAAGGCTAACCCTCATTCAGTTGTGGAGGAGGAAGAGAAATGAGAAATCGCCTTGTCCTGCAGCTAGTCTCCTATCCAGATAAAAGTTCATCGGCCTTCAATGGGGGTCAGAATTCACTTGTCTTGTGCCCATGTAGGGATTCCAGATTAGTTCCCCATTTGACTCCTCCCTCTGGCTCCACCAGCCCCTCTCTTATATGTGGCCACGTTTTATGATAGTTTTGTCCAAATCCAGCACTCACTTAAACCTCTCCGGATTACATATAGTCCTCGATTTATGATGATAAATGGGACCAGAATTTCCAGTTAAGCAAGGTGGTTCTTAAATGACCATTTGTTTAATATTTTTGCCATGGTTTCTAAGCAAACCATGTGGTCATTAAGTGAATCCAGCTTTCCCCCGTTGACTTTGCTTGTCAGAAGCCAGGTGGGAAAGTCACAAATGGCGATCACATCACCCAGGAAGCTGCAACTGTGGTAAATACGTGCCCGTTTCCAAGCATTTCAGTCAAGTCATGTGACTGTGAAAAGGCTGTGATGGTTGCAAGTAAGAGGACTAGACATACTGTAGGTCACTTTTTTCCAAGTTGTTCAACTGTGAGAAGTCACTAAATGAGTTATAAGTCAAGGACTGCCTGTATCAGAACCAAAGGGTAGGACCAGATAAAGGTGGACACTGGCAATGTCGACCTAAAAGGCAGGATACAAATGCAATAAATACAGGCAGTCCTCAACTTACGACCACAATTGAGCCCATAATTTCTGTTCCTCAGTGAGACATTTGTTAAGGGAGTTTTGTCCCATTTTACGACCTTTCTTGCCACAGTTGTTAAGTGAATCGCTTCAGTTGTTAAGTTAGCCACACGGTTGTTAAGTGAATCTGGCTTTCCCCCCTTGACTTTGCTTGTCAGAAGGTCGCAAAAGGGGATCACATGACCCCGGGACACTGCAACCGTCACAAACATGAGTCAGTTGTACAAGCGTCTGGATTTTGATTAGGGGACCGTGGGGATGCTACGGCGGTCGTGTGAAAAATGCTCATAAGTGACTTTTTTCATGGCCGTTGAAATGTCTATCCCAAAGATGCTTTTTCATGAGATAACTGGACTTTCTTGTTTTTCTTAGAAGACGTTTCACTTCTCACCCAAGAAGCTTCTTCAGCTCTGCCTGGATGGTGGGGAATGGATTTATATTCCTCACAGACAGCTGTTCATTTGCATTCTTTTAGTTAAAGCTATCTGGAGGCTTATCTGTGTCTTCAGGGTCACCTGAGTAATTCAAATGGGCATGGAGCCAGTTCCAAGAAGGCCCCACACCCATTTGCACTATTCAGGTGACCCTGGAGACACAGATAAGCCTCCAGGTAGCTTTAACTAAAAGAATGCAAATGAACAGCTATCTGTGAGGAGTATAAATCCTTCCATTTCCCCACCATCCAATCAGAGCTGAAGAAGCTTCTTGGATGAGAAGCGAAAAGTCTTCAAAGAAAAACAAGAAAATCCAGTTGCCTCATAAAAAAGCATCTTTGAGATGGCCGTTGTAACTTCAAACGGTCACTAAATGAACTGTTGTTAAGTCAAGGACTACCTGTGTCTTAGAAATAGCGACTTACAGGATTTCTGATCCCAGACAGCCACACGGACACGGTTCTCCTCACCGCTCTGCTTGTTCCACTCCACCATCTTGCACAGGTCCACAATGTCTTCCCCAAAATCTTCTGTACTTTTCCGCACCCTGCAGGGAGCAGAAGAGTTTGCATTACAACCTCTGTAATCAATTCCTGGCTGCTGCTGCATCCTCCTCCTCCTTCTTCTCCTCTTCCTCCTCCTCCTCCTTCTCCTCCTCCTCCTTCTTCTTCTCCTCCTCCTCCTCCTCCTCCTCCTCCTCTTCCTTCTTCTCCTTCTCTTCTTCCTCCTCCTTCTTCTTCTCCTCCTTCTCTTCCTCCTTCTCCTCCTCCTCTTCCTTCTCCTCCTTCTCCTCCTCCTCCTCCTCCTCCTCCTCCTTCTTCTCCTTCTCCTCCTCTTCTTCCTCCTCCTTCTCCTTCTCCTCCTCCTCCTCCTTCTCCTTCTCCTCCTCCTCCTTCTCCTCCTTGCCAACTTACCGAGTGGCTTGGCTCAGGGCCTCACTCTGTCCAGGTGGGAAGATCTGCCATTTGTTGTCACTGATCTCGCGCTCCCAGCGCAGTGCAGGCTGGGTCCCTGCATCGGCAGGCTGGACTTTGGGAGCCTTTCGTTTCCTTTTCATCCCTGCGACAACACAACACAACACCCCTAAGCAGCCAGATTGCCAACTGGGAGCCCCCAACCTGGCACGGAAGATAAGCTGCAATAGCAATAGTGCTTAGACTTACTGTACAGATAAGTCCTTGACTTAGGACTACAACTGAGCGCAACATTTCTGTTGTCCAGCGAGACATTTGTTAAGTGAATATTGCCTCATTTTGCGACCTTTCCTGCCGCAGTTGTTAAGTGAATCACCACAGTTGATAGGCTAGTAACACGGTGGTTAAGTGAATCTGGCTTCCCCATTGATTTTGCTTATCAAAAGGTTGCAAAAGGGGGGATCACATGACCTTGGGACACAGCAACGGTCGTAAGTATGAACCAGTCGCCAAGCACCTGAATTTTGCTCACCTGATCACGGGGATGCTACAAAGGTCATAAGTGTGAAAAATGGTCATATTACTTTTTTCAGTGCCGTTGTAACTTTGAATGTCACTAAATGAACTATTATAAGTCGAGGACTAACTATATATAGCGCCCCATTGTGTTTTATAGCACTCTGAGCAGTTTACAAGGTCAGCAATCTGGGTCTTCATTTTACCCACCTCAGAAGGATGGAAGGTTGAGTTAACGTTGAATCCCATCAGGATCGAACTCCAGGCTATAGGCAGAGTTTTCCTGCAATACTCCATTTTAACCACTGCGCCACCACGGCTCTAAACTGCAACTATTACCCCATTTCTGCAAAAGGGAAGATGAGTTTCCTTCTCTGCCCCATCCCTGAGCTTTGTGTGCTAAGCCATTCTTGAGCTGCTAGTAGGGACTGCCAGTATAGATAGTCCTTAACTTACAATTATTTGTTTAGTGACCGAAGTTACAACGCCACCGAAAAAGTGACTTATGACCGTTTTTCGCACTTACAGTACATGAGCATCTTACATGAGCATCCCCGTGGTCATGTGATCAAAATTCAGATGCTGGGCAACCAGTTCATATTTACAACGACTGCAATGTCCTAGGGCAGCAGGGGTAGGCAACCTCGGCGCTTTTATGACTCGTGGACTTCAACTCCCAGAATTCCTGAGCCAGCATGGCTGAGCTTGGAAACCTCTCCCTTTCCCCTCAGCATGGCTGGCTCAGGAATTCTGGGAGTTGAAGTCCACGAGTCATAAAAGCACCGAGGTGTTCTACCCCTGCCCTAGGGTCATGTGATCACCTTTTGTGACCTTCTGACAAGCAAAGTCAATGGGGAAACCATATTCACTTAAGAACCGTGTTACTAACTTAACAACTGCAGTGATTCACTTAACAACTGCAGCCAGAAAGGTCGTAAAATGGGGCAAAGCTCACTTAACAACGGTCTCACTTAGCAACAGAAATGTTGGGCTCAATTGTCATTGTAAGTTGAACACTATCTCTAAGCTGTTTTTCCTGCCTCTAAAAACCAAAATGAATGCCAATAACCTTGCTATCTTTAGAGAACCACAAGATTGTTATCTTTCTCTAGGAGCGTCTTTCTCCACCTGTCATAAGAAATAACTTTTAGCTGCCAGGCAAATGTTTTGCAGATTTGAATCAGGTAAGTATCACTTAACCACACCTCTTTTAGGCTCTTATGGACAGTTTTGTAGGAATAGGGTGTCATTCTGGATCATGAGAGAGCCGGCTTTGAAACATTTCAGGTTTTTGCAGCAAATATAACATCTTATAGTTCTTTAATACCTGTTAAGTAAGTGTTCTGTATGGTTCCTTGAAGACTAACAAGTCTGTGTGGATTTGTGCATTGCAATCCACTCCTTTTGCTATTCTCCCCCCCCCCCCCCCCAAATAAAGCCACTGGTTTTGAAAGTGCCATACAACTTGTTTTGGCATCACCGCCACTGCTATAGCTGCCTTTTTCCACTGGAATACAGCAAGACATTTTTCTCATCTATTCAGTGGTTTAATTTCCTAATTGGTATGCAGTGTGTTTGTGTGGATGTTCTGAAACTTCATCCCCGGAAGTTTCAAAGGTGCTTTTTTTCAAAAGGCAACTGGATTTTCTTAGTTTTTAATTTGAAAACATTTCGCTTCTCCTCCCAAGAAGCTTCTTCAGTTGTAACTAACTGGTGGGAATGGAGGGATTTATATTCTTTGCAGTCATCAAATTGTTAGCTGAAAAATAGTTTTTATCCCAGAGCTGTAACCATATTAAATACTACTGTATAGTGCAACACTGAAGTGCAATATTAGGGGCAGAACAATGGTGAATAGAATGTGAAGGATGTGTGTATATAATGCATGTTTTTACTTGTGTGTAGTGTGCACTGTGGACAGCACTTAATTTTGTTGTGAGATACACAATGACAATAAAGATATTCTATTCTAGTACTTTGAGAGTCATTGAGGCCACTTGGGGGTTATCTGTGTCCTCGGAGTCATCTGAATCAGAATGTAAATGGGTTGAAGCCTTCTTGGGATTGCTTTGTAAACAGGAGATAGGTTGTGTTATATCCCTCCCCTTGTGTTATATCCCTCCCCTTTTGCTGAGAGAAGGCTGTTCAGTTTTAACATAAGAGGCCTCTTTGACACCCTCTTTTCAAACCAGTGGTCCTCTCTGTCCAGAATGTGAATTTTGCTGTCTTCAAAAGAGTGAAATGACTTAAGACTTAGCATTATTTTGTTATCTCAAAAGAGATTGATTGATTGATTGGATTATATATGTATAGGGTAGATTAATATTTTATTTTAATTAGGATACATATTGTGTACTGGAAGAAGAAATAAATGAGACTTGTGATAAAATGAGGGATGTGAGATATTAAGAATTAGAATATATCTGGAAGGGATACCTGAATTGATAATTTGTTGATTTAAAGTTAAATTTGATTATGGTAATTGTAAATTCATAAAGTTTTAAAACAGGCTTAGCATTTATAGAAATTTAAATTAGAAATGGAATATTTTAAACGTATCATGCTATTTGAGGGAAATAGAGAGGGGACATTGAATGTATTGAGTTGAGTTATTTATATATGGTTTTATTTTTGAATGTTTGACTACCCTAACACCACGGTGTGTCCTGAGCACTTTGTCTTAAGAATTAAAAAACTAATAAAATATGTTTCAAAAAAAAAAAAAGAGTGACCCATGCCTTTCAGATGCAGACGGACTGCTGAATCCTGTCTTGATGAGTTTGTTCTGTGATGTGTTGTGCCATGCGTTTGTGAAGTGATTGTTTTGTTTCTCTAATGTACAGGCATGGACATGTCTTGCTGCATTGCACTGCATATACCACATTGCTGTTTGTGTTTGGGTGTTTTGAGAGGACCACAGGTTTGAAAGAGGAGTCAAAAGAGGCCATCTATATTAAAATTGAATAACCCTCCCTCAACAGAAGGGGGAGGGATATGACACAATCTATCTCCTGTTTACAACACAGTCCCAATAGGGCTCCACACTGGTTTACACTCTGATTCAGGTGACTCTGAGGATACAGATAAACCCCCAAGTGGAAACTCAGTGACTCTGCAGATAACTGCAAAGAATATAAATCCTTCCATTCCCCATCAGTCAGTGAAGCGAAATGTTTTCAAAGAGAAAAAACAAGAAAGTCCAGTTGCCTTTTGGAAAAAGCACCTTTGGGACAACCCTGACCAGGATGATTGAGAATCGCCATAGATACCCATCCCTGGAAGTTACCACTACCCCAAAACAGTTTGCCAGCCACTTTTACTAGTACTGTACCCTTTTATTATGACTATCAAGTGAAAGCAATATTAGAAATGGCTGGTCAGTTGCATGGGAAATACAGGGAGTCCTCAACTTACAACAGTTCGTTTAATGACCGTATGAAGTTACAATGACACTGAAAAAAGTGACTTACGACCATGTTTCATATGACCATTGCAGGACCCTCAGGGTCACGTGATCAAAATTTGGATGCTTGGCAACTAACTCATATGTCCCGGGGTCATGTGATGACCTTTTGCGACCTTCTGACAAGCAAAGTCAAGGGGGAAGCCAGATTAACTTAACAACCTTGTGACTAACTCACCAACTGCATGATTCACTTAACAACTGCCATAAAATGGGGGCAAAGCTCACTTAACAAATGTCTCACTTAGCAAAAGAAATTTTGGGGACAGTTGTGGTTGTAAGTCGAGGGCTACCTGTACTGTACACTCCAGCACATGCTCAGATCTTCCCTGTCCCAATCAGAACAAAACGTAGATAAGCCTCACATTCAGATTGGTGTTTGGTGATAAAATCCACTCCATTCTCCCATCCTGATTTAATAATAATAATAATAATAATAATAATAATTTAATTTATATACCGCCCTTCTCCCGTAGGACTCAGGGCGGTGCACAGCATATTAAAACAGATACAAACAAAATACATCGAAAAACAAAAAACCCCCATAAAACCAAATTAAAAGCCAAATATTAGAAGCTGTGTGTCAATTAAAATTTGCTTAAAATCGTCCCTACCTAAAATCCTCCCTAGGTCAGGCCCGCTTGCTGGAAAAGCCATGTCTTGAGGGCGCGGCGGAAAGTAAGGAGATCCGGAATCATCCGGATCTCGGGGGGTAGTTCGTTCCAGAGGGTGGGGGCACCCACAGAGAAGGCCCTCCCCCTGGGGGTCGCCAGCCTACATTGCTTGGCCGACGGCAC